CCAAATATGCAATGTCTGATCTAGTACATATCATGGCAAACATTTTGCTTCCCACAACACTTGCATATAGCACCTTAGCCATATTCTCGTTTTATCTACGATCTTGGCACTTTGCTTCGAAGACAACTTGAAATGAGGAGCTAATGAAGTCTTCACCAGCTTTGCCTTGCTCATGCCAAACTTATCAAGCATCTTGTCTTCAAAGCTCTTTTGTGAAAGTGTCAAACACTCCGTTGATATCTATGTATTTCGATTCCAAGTATTTGTTTTGCCGGCTCGAGATCTTGCATTTCAAAACTCTTGGTCAAAGATGCCTTGAGCTCATCAATCCTAGCGTTATCCTTGGATGTCAAAAGCATATCATCAACATACAAGACTAAGATTAAATAAGAACCATCATCAAAAAAATTCATGTAAACACAATGGTCATATTCACTCATTTGGTATCCAAGACCAATCATGAACATGTCAGAAGTCTTATACCATTGTCTTGATGCTTGCTTGAGTCCATATATGGATTTCTTCAACTAGCACACTGACCTCTCTTTTCCTTTTTCAAGAAATCCTTCCGGTTGTTGCATATACAGTTCCTCTTCAAGTTCACCATATAAAAAAGTCATTTTACATCCATTTGTTCAAGTTCCAAATTATGCAATGCAACAAGCCCAAGCACCAACCTAATAGAGTCTAACTTGACAATTGGTGCGAAAATTTCAAAAAAGTCGATATATTCCTTTTGTGCAAAATCCATTTGCAACTAACCTTTCCCTATACCGTTCCAAATTTCTATCAATCCCTTTTTTGATTTTGAACACCCACTTGCAACCAACCGCTTTCCTACCCTTTGGCAACCCTCTCAAATCCCAAGTGTAGTTCTTCCTAAGAGCCAACATTTCATCTTCCATAGCCTTCTTCCAAGATATGGAATCATCCCCGTCCATAGCTTCTTGGTAAGTGCCCGGTTCTTCATTCATAACCACCAAAGCATATAAAACTTCGAGGTCCACATAATCCCTAAACCACTCGAGTGGACGAATTAGCCTTGTGGATCTTCTTGCCATCGATGGAGCAACTTCTTCATGGGAATCACTTGGTTCACTAACTTCCCTTTTTGCATCAATGGCTTCTCCATTGATACTTATGGGTGCTTCTTCCGATATATGGCTCTCACTAGATGATGGAACATGAGGTCAAAAATCAATTTCTTGAGTATCATTATGAGATTATTCATTTTCTATAGTCTCATTTCCTACACCCTTTGTCAACACAGATGATTCATCAAAATGCACATCCCAACTTGTAATTATCCTTTGGGCACTTGGATCTCATAACCAATATCCATTCACACCTTTGTCATACCCAACAAAAATGCACTTTTTTTTATTTTAGTTCAAGCTTATTTCTTTGGCAACTTGGAATTAAAACATAAGAATTGACAACCAAAAATCTTTAATTAGAATAATCACAAGGAGTTCCAGACCATACCTCTTGGGGTGTTTTCTCCCCCAAAGCCGTCGAAGGTGATCGATTGATAAGATAACAAATCATCATCACAACTTCAGCCAATAACTCTTGCTCCAATTCGGCATTGCTCAACATACTTCTTGCTCGCTCCATCCAAGTGTGAACATCATTTCCGCAACACCATTTTGTTGGGGGCTTTTTTGTCACTAAATTAAGTGACTTATATAAAAGCTAAAAATCGGCTTTTGAACACACGATTCTTCCTTCTTGGTTTTGAACTCTTCTCTCTCTCTCTTGAAGGGGGTTACAGTTTGTTTTGGTTATGTAGGAAAGGAAAAAGAGGTGAAAAAGGATTTCTTGTCCAATTTTTAATAGAGAAATTGTATGAGCTTGTATTGCTCATGTCTTTAGATCATCCGAAGTGAAACACGGGGTAAATCGTGGTTTTTGGGTGATTTCAAGAAAGCATTATGGCGATGGATTTTATCGGTTTTCTCTATTAAGGTAATATTGTATCCCCTTGTAAATTTCTCTTTGATAGTGGAATTACTTGCCTGCTTACCCATAGACGTAGCCCTACAGAGTGAACCACGATTAATTCGTGTCGCGATTTTTCTTTCTAAATTTCTCTCATGATTATGCTTCTATCTCTAATTTATTTTTCCTAAATTATTATATAGGATTCTTAGCTTATTATTGGATTATCGATTTTACATATTCAATATTGAATGTGTGATATTCGATGATCGGTTAAATTAGGGCTTCAGGTATTTGAATCTCCAATAAGTGGTATAAGAGCTTTAGGTTTTTTGGGAGAATGGCAAGTAATCGATTTGAGGTGGAGAAATTTGATGGACAAAATAATTTTGAGATATGGAAAATTCAAGTTCATGATCTTTTGGTCCAACAAGGAAAGGAAAAGAAGTTGGAATCCATAAGTAATGAGGATTGAGAGGAAATGGACCTTAAGACTATGGCTACAATTCGATTGTGCCTAGCAAATAAGGTTTTATTCAATATAGTGGGAGAGAAGATGGCAAAAGGCTTGTGGGAGAAATTGAAAAGCGTTTATCAAAACAAATCTCTTACAAACCGTATTCTATTAAAGAGAAAATTGTTTGGTTTAATGATGAAAGAGGGGACAAAAGTATCTGATCATTTGAACATTTTCAATAATATTATTTGTGAACTTGCTAATGCTGGTGAAAAAATCAAAGATGAGGATAAGGCGATAATGTTACTTTACCAGAATCTTATGATAATTTGGTGACAACATTAGGTTGCACTAAAGAACATTCACTTGATTCAGGGTATGTTTGACAACTTGGCAATATCTCAATAGTTCAGGATATTCCCAAATCTATAATGATCTTGATCTTAAAAGATACTAAAAAGGCATGTGAGTCATTTGATCGAGCAAAACCAGATCGTTTAAAATCTAGATAATCATCAATTATCTAAATCCTACAAAATTCACCTCATACTTGAATTTTGCGGGATTCAATTTCTTCCGTCATTTTTTTTCTTTCGCTACGTCGTTACTTGCACAAACCCACAAAACCCCTCCCATCTTAACATCTCTCTCTTGGTGAGCTCTACAAGACCCATTCGTCTCTCCCCAAACCACCACGTCTTCTCTAATACTTTCTATCATCTCCCCAAACAACCACATCTCTCTCTAAAACAGAAGCTTAAGTCTTCCATGATGAGAGAGACAGGTGTAGAGAATGGAAAAACAAGGGAAAGAGAAGTTAGAGAGAGAAAGGTTACACTTAGTTATGGAGCGAAGAGATGTGGGGCTTGCATCAGTGAGGAGACAAGAAATAAAGGAAAACAGAGGGCAAGAGAGAGGTTAGTGAGAGAGAATAGTGGATCTAGGACACAGAGCTTCAAAAGAGGGAAGTATGGAAAGACAAAACCGAGAACGAGATGAATACAGCTTTTGGGCTATCTTGGTTAGTATTTGAGCTTGATTTTTGGGAGGTTGGGTGGTTTGCATTGCAAAGAAGAAGATTTGCACGGTGGCTTAGTAATGGAAAGAAGAAGATGGGTTGCGTGGGTTGGGCACTGGTTTTTTATGAGATTTGGACAAAGAGGTGGGTACACAAAGAGAGAGAGAGAGAGAGAGAGAGAGAGCTTCAAATCAATGGATTGAGATGAAACACAAGCTGCAAATTGAGTAATCAAGATGAAACATGGACGAAATCCAACCGTTGCAAATTGAGTGATGGGATGAACTGTAGAGAGAGAGAGCCTGCAAGTTTAGAATGAGAGAAAGAGAGGTTTTTCTCTAGTTGGATTGCTGGTATGAAAAATCATGTTTGAGGGGCGGCCATTATTGCTGGTGTTCATGCTCTAAAAATATTGTCATGGCTTGAAAAACATTCAATTAGAAAAATTATGAATTATTGATAAATAGCAAAGACGCAAAAAAAACTGACATATTAAGATATTCGGTAATTTAGAGATATGGAAAGCCAACAAAGTCGTTCTTCAAATTTTAAAACTTTTGAATATTTAAATCCTATTTTATCAAACATACCCTTAAGTAAGGTAAGTAGTACTTTGCTTGCTCGTGAAGTCTGAAAAAAGGCATCTATTGCAGAACCGGAATCAGAAGTTCACATGTCAAGGTATCGTTCAAGTGAGAGAGGTAATTCTCCTCGAAATTCTTCAAGAACTAAGTCAAAGGGTCGATCAAAGTTTGAAGGCCAAGAAAACAAGTTTGTTTGTTGGGGATGTGGTGAAACCGGACATATTTAGAAAAAATTTACAAAAAGGAAATGGCAAAAATTCGAAAAAGTAAGGGAAACCAATGAGTCAAAAAATGAGGTAAGGGAAACCAATGAGTCAAAAAATGAGGTAAATCAAGTGGAGGAATCGACATCCGATTTCATTGAAGAAGAGGTTTATGTCGTGGGTTGCAATCCCGATTCCATCAAAATTGGATTTTGGATAGTGGTTTTACACATCATATGTGCCCACACAAGTCATGGTTTAGTTCATATGAACCATCTGATGGTGGTTCCGTATTGATGGGAAATATCAAATAATTCAATTAGTAGAATGGTTGGGATTAGCACGATGAAATAAAAGATCTATGATGGAAATATCCGCACACTTGAGCATGTTCGAAATGTTCTGGACTTGAAGAAAAGTTTAATTTCTCTTTCTTTATTGGATTCCAATGTCTATAAATTCACCGGACAAGGGGGAGTTCTCAAAGTATCTAATGGTGTTCTTGTTGTGATCAAGGGTGTTAGAGTTGGGAACTTGTATAAGTTAAATTAGGATTTCAGGTATTCAAATCTCCAACAGTATACAATAAATAGCTCACTGAAGAGTCTAAAACTTCATGTTTGAATGACAAAATTTAGAAGTGGTGTTTCCTGCAATGTGTCATAAGATTATAACGAAAGACCTTTGTGTCACTATAAAAAAAAAAACTAAAGTTCCAGTGTAACCACCAAACCGTGATAGCAGCATAGCGCTGAAACGCACACAAAAAAAATGCCCAACAGTGTCAAATGGCTTACCTCTATGGCTCTCAACAAACATCTGCTCGTTTCCAAAGTACTTCTTATATTGCCATGCAATTCTCAAATCTTCCTCCTGCATATGCAAATCCAAGGTCATAAATTCCCAAAAACCGAACAATCGAGCTATGGAGATGTCAAAATGCAGAAACAATAAGACGTAGGGACAGAAGCAGAGTAAGTAAAAGAGAAACCTTTACCTGCTGCTGGCTGGGGGTGTGCAGATGAGTTCTGGGGGGGATGGGAGCAGGCAGGGTGCCAAGAAACGCACGAGGGGAGTGGGCAGGGGACGCGTAGAGAAGAGGTTGGCGATGGAGCACACCCTGCGACATGAAATTCCTCAGCAGCAACAAATGGTGAGGGGCCTCACTGTCTTCCATCACCATTATCAAACTCCCAACTGGAACTCCACCCCCCAACAACTTTGCCAAACCAGTCATGGAAACAACAAAGCAGAAAAATAAACACCGTTGCACCTATCAGTAAAACATTGAAGCATGAGAGACGATTGAGCCTCAATAAAAAGGATATGATCGAGGTCTTGGATGCCGGTGGAGACAATGGGAGTTCCATTGGGCCCGATCTTGAGGCCAGGAGGAGGAGGAGCATGTCTCGAGTGTGAGAATGATTTAGGGTTTCTGGTAAAGGTACCAGTTGCAGCCATCATGAAACTCTGACCTTGTTTCTCTCTTTAAGTCCGTCTTGTTCATGCATTGTTCTCTCTCATCTATCACTCTCTGAGAAGCCATATTTATGTAAAGCTTTGTTAGATCATTGATGAAGCATGATTTTTGTAGTATTCCATAATTTCCAGGTACTAATAATTCGAGCTCCTAAAAACGAAATTCCAGGTTCTAGGGAATCCTTAGCTTCCAATTACCATATGTGCCCCTAGAAAATTACATATGGGCCTTCCCATATCTAATAGTGTGAGAATATGATGGTTTATTAGATAAGCTGAGTTTCCATTACAAGTATGGTTTATATAAGGTGCCCGCTTTAAATAACAAAAAGCACCACCAAATCTTTCTCCTCCTAGTTATAAATTTTAAAGCTCAAAAAAATGATGCAAATCGAGAAGCATGATAAGAATCAAGAAAAATGATAAGTACTCAAAAAATGTGCAGCACTATAGTTAGCATTATAAATTTTAAAGTTCAAAAAAGTTATAAATTTTAAAGCTCGAAAAATTGTAAAGCTCAGAAAATGATGCAAATCGAGAAGAATGATAAGAACCGAGAAGAATGATAAGTACTCAAAAATGTGTTGCAAGATGCACTATAATTAGCATTGGAAATCTTTGTTTCTTTTCTTTTTTTTATCTATACATTGTAAAGTCAAGGTGGTTTAGCATCAGAACGACTTTTTATAATAGGGTTTTTTGAGGTCCGTCTTACTTTTATGTATATAAGGATTGATACCTTATACAAACTTTTTCCTTACAAAATATTAAAAAATAATCTTTTTTCAGCACCTTCTATAAGACTACAGGCTGTGATTGAAAAGTTGTTTAGTTGGATTGGCATCACCCAATCCAACTCAGGTTTGAGGGTCACGGCCCCAATTTGATGACTCACCCTAGTTTGCTTAATTTTGCCTATTGCACTATAGTCGAGTGGGCGATTCTCCCAAAAAAGGGAAAAGAAAAAAGCATAAGAAAAAACATAATAATAATAAAACGATAGCTGGCTATATTTCAAGATCAACTAATTGTCGTGAACTCAATTATATGAGTTCATTTTTCACTTGAAAATGTTATTTATGCCTTTTAATCAATCTCTCTGGCCATTTCTCTTTCAGAAAGCTTAGATTCCCATCATTCTTCATAGATATACAAGACATATGCCTCTGTTTTACAAATTGGACCCCTATTTTTTGTGAAAAAGAAAGTTCAAAAGATTGGGTTTTTTCTTGATTTTGAACTCAAATTTCTCTATTATGCAGTTATAATCCAAGAAAGAATTTTGGGCTTTATCAATAATTGTCTCTAGGTTGCTTTTCAACACATATTTACTCATTTTCCATCTGATTTGTGTAGATTTCATTATTTTTTCGTTGTTTTTTATTTTTCAACAATAAATACTCTTGGTGTTTCCAAATTAATCATTGACCCTAGCTTGTTCATTTGTGGCTATATCTCATATTGAAATTAAATTGATTCAATGAGTTATGTGAACCAACACAAACAAAGTCCATGAGTTTTTGGTTTGAAGCTTAAAAAAAAATTGTGAACTTTGCATGTCTAACCAATGCATTATACATGAGATTAATCGAAGGTGTTTCTATACTTATTTGTCTGTTTAGATTGTGTTTTAATTGTCTAAAAATCTAAATTTCACACCCAGAATTCAATAGCTATCCTATTTCATTTTGTTTGATGTAACATGTGTTCATGCTTTTTGTCATGGAGAGGTTGATCGATATATATATATATATATAGGGCAATGATTTCATGCAACGATTGTATAGTAATATGATGCAACAACCTTCAAACACCATGTTATGGCCATTTGTTTTATCCAAAATTTGAAATATGCAATCTTCTAATTCTAATGAACAATCATAAAAAAGAAAAATTTTGAAAACACAATCTAGAAAGTATTGTTTTCACCAAATTAACATAGGCCGTTCATTTTGGTGAGATGCTTAGATGTAGGCCTTAGAAGGATTGTTTCATTTCCAATTTTTTTGGATGTCTTTATCATCATTAGATGAACAAACGTTAAGATAGAAAAAAATGATTTTGAGTTTATAAAGGCTAAGATCTTGAACTTCACTAAACGAATGGTCTAGATTCGTTTTTGGAGGGGATTCATTTTAACCATATCTAGGGCTCAAATTGAAATTTTTTTTTTTGGGGATTGATTATTGAGATGAAGAGAGTGTGTGTAAAATTTTGGGTCATAAAAATACCACAAACATGGTTTTCTAGAAGTGTTATTGCAGTATACTATGATACAACCGTTGCATGAAATCACTACCCATATATATATATATATATATATATATATATATATATATANATACTATACTATATATCATACACTANACTACGATACGAATACATATATTA